TTAAACTAGATTTAAAGTTATCATGAGTTCCTTCCCTCATCACTGCCCACCAGTTACCACAGCTAATGAACACCTGACATACAGAAAACTCTAAAATAAAAAATTTATTGAAAAGCTTTAGTTTCATACTATAACTTTTAGATGCAAAAAAAAGATTTATAATTAAGAAAATTTAACTATAGAAATAAAGAACAGATATATATCCTATCTAAAATTATATATTGAATATATATATTTATTAAAATAGCCCTTTTTTTAAAAGATTTTATTTATTTATTTGAGAGAGAGAGACATAGCGAGAGAGGAAACACAAGCACAGGGGATGGGAGAGGGAGAAGCCGTCCTCCCGCTGAGAAGGGAGCATAATGTGGGGCTCGATCTCAGGACTCTGGGATCATGACCTGAGCCAAAGGCAGACGTTTAATGACTAAGCCACCAAGCACCCCAAAATAGCCTGTTATTGTTATCAAATTCTTAACTGAGCTCTTTAAAATACATATGTAAAATATATGTAAGTATATATATATATATATATATATTCCATTTAAAATACATGGATACATATATATTCCATCTCAAATAAGTTCATGCAGAAAAGTTCACTGTTATGAAACTGTCGACCAAAATTATAAATCCAAGCTAGACACATAGCTTTTTTCTCTTGACCTAGATCCACCCGGGAAAAAAACAAGCTTAAGAACCTTAACCACAGGCAAAGTTCAGGCAGCATTTTCTCTATAACATCATCATTACCAGTTGCTAAATTAGTTCTATCCAACAGGTAAAACATGTTCTACCCCAGAACTCCCTACTCTCAGAGTTGTAAAATAAAGGTATCACTTACCTTAAAGAACTAAAATCTACCAAGTTCCTTTTGGAACACATTATCCAAAACTTAGAGCTACTTTGAAAAATCAATATTTGACAGTTTGTGACTCTAAAATATTTTAAAATGTTTTTTAAAGAGGATTCTGAAGGCAAGTCAGAAGCACAAATAGAAAATAAAATAACTGAACTAATCACCCCTCATGTCATACCATTTCTTCTAACACCACACCTCACTGGAACGGAAGAGGCAATGAATGCAGAGAAAAGGAAGATATGATGGGGAAGAGAAGTCACAGGAACTGAGTTGCAAAATGAGAAGTGGGTTTTAACTACTATTTAATTATTATTATTATTATTAACTTTATTATTATAGTAGATATATAGGGATAAAGAACAGATAGGAGATGTTGTGTTAAAGTATTTAGGATTGTTAGCTGGTGCTTAGTTGAAATATGTAACTAGTACTTAGAATTATTAGTTGACACTTACTTATTGGAATACAAAATTTGCATAAAATTTTTCAAGCACCAAAACACAAATAATAGCAAAACAAGTAAGGGAAAAATCTGCTTTGGGGTCCAGTGAGAAAAGTACGTAGGTTGGATGGAATAGACAGGTGATGGGTATTAAGGAGGGCACTTGTTAGGATGAGCACTGGGTGTTATATGTAAATGACAGATCACTGAACTCCACTCCTGAGCCAATATTGAACTATATGTCAATGAACTAGAATTTGAATTTAAAAAAAAAAAAAAAGAAAGGAAAGTTACATAAGTCAAAATCTTGGAGCTTGGGGCTCCTAGCTGCCTCAGTCAGTGAAGCATGCAACTCTTGATTTGGGGTTATGAGTTCGAGCCCCATGTTGTGGGTAGAGTTTATTTAGAAAACAAAAATTCTTAGCTTAATTGTTAGCAGGTCCTTTAAAATTCCTCTAGTCCAACTTTTGCAGGACTCTCTTCTTCAAAATCCATAACAAAGAATCACCCACCTTCTGTTCTGAACTTCCCAAGGCAAGGAGCTCACTACGTCCCCAAAAAAGCCTATTATTTCTTTATTGAAAGAATTGTTGGGGAGTACAGTCTGGCTTCTAACAGTTTCACTTGTAGGTCCTAATCATTACTTCAAAGCAATAGTAAAGAAGCCTGCACTATATTCTTGGGGCACCTGGGTGGCTCAGTGGGTTAAGACTCTGCCTTCGGCTCAGGTCATGATCTCAGGATCCTGGGATCGAGGCCCACATCTGGCTCTCTGCTCAGCAGTGAGCCTGCCTTCCCCTCTCTCTCTGCCTGACTCTCTGCCTACTTGTGATCTCTCTCTCTCTGTCAAATAAATAAACAAAATCTTAAAAAAAAAAAAAGCCTGCACTATATTCTACATAAAGGCTCCTAAACATATTTATATATAAATGGACAGATTCAAACAGTGGTTCATAGGAAATTAAGAGGATAAGTCTTAAGAATAACATTCACAGAATGTCATCTAAGTCATCCCAGAGGAAGCAAAAAAATTCAGTTCAGAATTACTGGTTTAGGGGTATCTGGGTGTTTCCATTGGTTAAGCATCTGAGTTTGCCTCAGATCATGATCTCAGCATCCTAGGACCAGGCCCAGCATTAGGCTTCCTGATCAGTAAGGAATCTGGTGATCCCTCTCCCCCTGCTTGTGCCTGTGCTCTCTCTCTCACTCTAATAAATACATAAAATCTTGGGAAAAAAATAAAGAATTATTGGTTTAAAATATTATAAGCATTACTACTAAAAGTAATCTCAGAGATTTTAAATTTTTCATCAGTCTCTTTTTTTAATTTAAATTCAATTAATTAATATATAATGTGTTACTGGTTTCAGAGGTAGAGGTAAGTGATTCATCAGTCTTACAGAACACCCAGTGCTCATTACATCACATGCCCTCCTTAATGTCCATCACCCAGTTACCCCATCCCCCCACCCCTCCCCTTCAGCAACCTTGTTTGTTTCCTGTGATTAAGAGACTTTTATGGTTTGTCTCCCTCTCTGATTTCGTCTTGTTTTATTTTTCCCTCTCTTCCCCTATGATCTTGTTTTGTTTTTCAAATTCCACATATGAGTGAGATCTGTCTTTCTCTGACTGACTTATTTTGCTTAGCAAAATACCCTCTAGCTCCAACCTCGTCATTGCAAATGGCAAGATTTAATTTTTTGATGGATGAATAGTATTTCATTTTATATATATATGCTACATCTTCTTTATCCATTCATCTGTCAATGGACATCTAGGTTCTTTCTACAGTTTGGCTATTGTGGACACTGCTGCTGTAAACATTGGGGTGCATGTGCCCCTTTGGACCACTACATGTGTATCTTTGGGATAAATACCCAGTAATGCTATTGCTGGGTCATAGGATAGCTCTATTTTCAACTTTTTGAGGAACCTCCATATTGTTTTCCAGAGTGGCTGCACCAGCTTGCATTCCCACCAACAGTGTTAAGAGGGTTCCCCTTCCTCCACATCCTCTCCAACTCTGTCATTTCCTGACTTGTTAATTTTAGCCATTCTGACTGGTGTGAGATGCTATCTTATTGTGGTTCTGATTTGTATCTCCCTGATGCTGAGTGATGTTGAGCATTTTTTCATATGTTTGTTGGCCATTTGGATGTCTTCTTTGTAGAAATGTCTGTTCATGTCTTCTGCCCGTTTCTTTTTTTTTTTTTTTTAAAGATTTTATTCATTTATTTGACAGAGAGAGATCACAAGTAGATGGAGAGGCAGGCAGAGAGAGAGAGAGAGAGAGGAGGAAGCAGGCTCCCTGCCAAGCAGAGAGCCTGACGCGGGACTCGATCCCAGGACCCTGAGATCATGACCTGAGCCGAAGGCAGCGGCCTAACCCACTGAGCCACCCAGGCGCCCTTCTGCCCGTTTCTTGATTGGATTACTTATTCTTCAGGTGTTTGAGAAGATCTTTATAAATTGTGGATACTAGCCCTTTATCTGATAAGACATTTGCACATTTCTTTTCCCACTCTGTCCTTTGTCTTGGTTTTGTCAACTGTTTCCTTTGCTCTGCAAAAGCTTTTTACCTTGATGAAGACTATATGGTTCATTTTTGCCTTTGTTTCCTTTACCTTTGGAGATGTATCTAGCCAGAAGTTGCTGTGTCCGAGGTCACAGAGGTGGCTGCCTCTGTGCTCCTCTAGGATTTTAATGGATTCCTGTCTCACATTTAGGTCTTTCATCCATTTTGAGTCTGTTTTTCAACATCATTCTTTCAAGTCAGTCTTTCAAGTGTCATATTTATGATTTTGCCACACCCATAATAATCACTACTATTTAATAATACTTTAATTCATTTCTTAAGTTAAATGAAGTATTTTAAGAGAAATCTTGATATTATTATTGTAAGTGGGAAACCATTATCTATTTGTCATAGACAAACTAACATTAAATATAAATACATAACTCTAATGTACCAACCTATTATCATGTCATGTACCAATGGTGGTATGCATTCCAGCCTATAGGAAGAAATGGTTTAGAATATCTCCTATCAAATTTTTTGGAAACATATTAAAGAATTATAAACTTCTTAAAGCATGCCACAGAACTTTCCAGATGAAAGGCTTTTGAATTGAAAAACATTAAAAATCAGGAAGAGTGAAAAAGACCCTGTCTACCACTTACTAGTTGCGTGTCCCCATTAAGCCTCAATTTTCACATCTGTAAAATAGGGATTAAAGGAGCAGCTACCTCATGGTGCGTTCTATAAATTGAATGAAATCACGCAATGCTAGAAAGCAGGTGAGTTTAGAGTGCTATTAGCCCCTACTACTATTATTTCTGTAGTATGAGAAAATCTCAAACATTTGCCCATCTCCATATAGACCTTTTTTAGGTGGCCTAGAAATCAAGATCTTTAAGATACTGTATTATATCAATAAATGTAAAATACATTAACACATTTACTCTCTAGTGTAAAAACTGCACTTCAGAGACTACATGGAATAGCCATTATACTTCAAAAGCCAAAAAAAGCATTTCCATGTTTACCTATACAGAGAAGTCTAGGTATGTTTTATGAAATCATTTATCCGCAATCTAGCACAGACACCAATGAGAGCTATATCTAAAATACTACACAGTCATACTCATGTAAGCTTCATAAATTCTTTATAAAGAATTCTACAATAAAACACTTACAAACTCAGTTTTGCAAAGCTCTCTTGCGCGTTATGCTTTTCTCGCTCATATGCACTTTCAACTTCTTTGAATTCATTCTTGATCATTTCCAAATCTGCAACAGCTTCCGCTTGGCTGGCCTTTTCCACCTGCAAAGCGCCTTCAAGGTCTCGAATCCGCAACTGCCAGAAGACAGAGAAGTAGTTAAAACGAGCAAGGAAATGCTGGCTTCAAAGTCTGGTCAGACTGAATGGAGTTCTTTATCAGCCGCAGTTTATCATTCATCCAAACACTTCTTCCTTTCTGCTTTGGTTTAAAAAGGAAAATAAACAAAAGACAGTGTATTCCCTTTCTCAATGTGTTTAATGGAAGGGAGGAAGAGGGGAAGAATAATTAACTGTGCTATGGAAATGCCTGATCAAAGTGCTGAATTTTGACCTACTATTCCATTTGGAGACTTCTTTTATAAAACATAATGAAATTAGTGGTTTGAGGAAACAAAAGGGAAATAGTCTTCCCCTCTTATGAGAAACATCATTACAGTCACATGTTTAGAAGCCCATGAAAGTTAACATCTTTTTTATTCCTAGAGATTTTTTACTATAGAAAAGTAAAACTTGTATTACTTGTTTTTATTACTTGTATTACCAAATAATACTCTTTGACTAAAATATTAATGAGTGTAGTTATATGATATCTAGGATTTGCTTCAAAATGCTATGGGGCTGGGGAGTAGATGGGGGGGCGGTGAGGGGTTGGGGGGAGTTCATTGTACCATTCTCTCTACTTTTGCATATACTTGAAACTTTACATAATAAAACACTTTGATAGATTCTACATAAACATCGACAGTAGAACAGATAAACAAGTACATTCCCATTAAAGAATAACATGTAGCTATTAAAAAAGCTGTAAAACAACTTTTGAAAAGGAAGCTCTCCATGTGGCTCTCCAAGTGGTGTTAACACAGACTGAAAAAGCAAAGTCCACATCAGTGTACACAGTCTGCTATATTTTGGGTAAACAAGTGGGAAAAATTAAGTAGCAGGCAACATGGTGGAGCAAAAGGAGCAATAGGAGTGAAAGCAAGAGTTCTCGATCATTTAATATTGTTTGGATTTTTGAACTATGTGGATATTTTAACTTTTTCAGAAAATTAAATTTAAAAACTAAAAAGTAGACTGCTAAGGCCAGAAAAAGTGGGGAGTGGTAGAAAATGTTTTACACTAAACAGAATATGGGCTTTAGAACCATAAAGCTCACATTTAACTTCCAGCTCTACAAACTTTTGTGACCTGTAGTATATTACTAAACCTCAAAAAGGCCAGAGGTTCCTCATCTGTAAACAATAAATAATGGTGGTAATAATAATAACAAACAATCTACAGGGTTATTACGAAGATCTAATGAGATAATATTATATATTTGAGATATATATATTTGATATATATATAAATATGTATATATATTTGAGATGAGATAATAATATATATTTAATATTACATATGTATATATGTTTATTTAATAAATTTTTGGATAAATATTTATTCAGCACTTAATATGTGCCAGGCAGTGAGCTAGTGCTCAAGATATACAATAATCATGAAAATAGACAGTCTTAGTTTCGAGGAGCTCCTAGTCTTTAGGAGAGGAAAGATCATGACAAAATGTGGTGTTTCCTATCACAGAAACAGGCACAAAGGGCCATGAAATCAGAGAAAAGCTATGAACAAGTCTCCTGGGAGGGCAAAAGCCAATCCAAGGTAAGAAAGATAAAGTCACCAAGAAAAGAAGCCTAGAACAACAGGAAAGTGTTTTGTAAATCAATCCATACAAATAATAAGCACCAGAATTATTATTTGTAATTCTTCAAAAATATTTTGGAATAATCAAAACATTCTTGCACTAAAGTAAGGACACAGAATAGAGCTGGAGATACAGCTTGGTAAATTTTCAAATTTGGTCTTTTAAGTTTTATCTTTCTTTTCTGTTTTGTCTGAATCCAATGTTGACAAGTGAAATAATAGATCTAGAAAACATTTTCTTCTGTCTGCATTGCTATCTTCTTTCAGAAAATAAGCACACTCAATCACAAATGATAAACCAAGCCAACTGAAAGAGAAGTAGGCTTCAAATTAATAATTCTGAGTCAACTCTTTGATTCTATTTTCTCATTTTTATGAGAATAAAATTAACAACATACTTCAAACATACATTTAACTACAGTTTATACTAAGATGGTGATTAATTACAACTATTTAATGGTCTCATTTGCTTTTAAACTAATCTGAAACTGAATTTTACTAGATGTACCTCACTGAAAATATTTGTCAATATTTATAGATATATGGGTCAAATATAAACTTTGGCTTTTTTCTGCATCATAATGTGGAGTGAAATATCAACTATAAATTTTGAACTTGTGATTAAAAAATATACATGTAATAATCTTTATTTTTGTAGCTATTAACTATATATCCCCAGGTATAAATTATAACTACACTGAAAAACTTAATTTTGAATTATACTTCCTTCATAAATTTAAAACTTTAGCCTTATTGCTTATTGATGCCATTTTGGGTGATTCAATCGTTTAAAAAAAAAAGGTTGGGGCACCTAGGTTACTCAGTCGGTTAAGTGTTTAACTCTTGATCTCAGCTCTGGTCTTGATCTCAGGGTCATGAGCTCAAGCCCCTCATTAGGATCCATGCTTAACTTGCACAAGTTTGCTTAAAATACAAAATGCACTCAAATACATGGACCTGAGAATTTTACAGGTAAGGGGGACATTTCATTAAAGATAAAAATTTTTTTTAATTTTATTATATAATTCTTATAAGCTTAATTGCACCCTATATTAAGACCCAGTTAAACAATAAGGTATAATTTTGCAAGTTTATTAAAATTTGATGTAAGGGAAAAGTGTAAATCTTAAAAAAATTCAAATTAAATTAAGGAACTGAGGGGAACCTGGCTCAGTCAGGAGGGCTTGCGACTCTTGATCTCAGGGTTCTGAGTTCAAGCCCCATGCTGCGTGTGGAGCCTACTTTAAAAAAAGTTAAACTAAGATGTTAGATTTCTGGAACTTCATATGAAACTTTATACACAACATAGGCCATGGGCCAGACATGGTCCATGGGCAGTAGTTTGCCAAGCCCCAGTTGGAATGCCTTCACTTCCCTTAGAAATTATTTCTCATTCTCTAAGACCTGGAGGACACTTTGCTTAGGATGCCTTCAATTAATTCCCCTCTCAGATATAACCTTTTTTATTATGCTTTCATAGCATTTTATATTTTAGTATTTTATGTTTCTACCTGTACATTTATCCATATATATATACAGAAGCAGATAAATATACAGTATTTCAGATAACAGAAGTAAGTTCCAAGAGTCGTTTCTTCGCCGTTATACCTTCAGCTCTTAATACAAGTGACAAGCAGTGTGCACAGGATATACACTCTATAAAAGGTGCATATTTTTTTAATGTTTTCAAAAAGAAATTCATCCCATGGCTCTTGATGAAAAGAAAACTCTGATCAGCAAATCATTCTGTAACAGGCCAGATGGTAAATACTTTGGACTTTGCAGGCCATAATGTCTCTGTCATAACCATCCCCCTTTGCCACTGCAGCCCAAAAGCCCCACAGACAAGACAGAACCCCCCTTAAACAGGCAGTGGTTGAGATATGGCCTGTGGGCTAGAGTGTGCCAATCCCTCCTCTAACAAAACCATGCTCAGCCATATCCTGATAGCAAACAGAATAATGAGTGTCTTAATAATATGCTACCCATTCTTTTTTTTTTTATTTATTTATCTGAGAGAAAGAGAGTGTGCGTGGGGGAGAGGCAAAGAAAGAGGGAGAGAATCCTATGTAGACTCTGCACTGAGCTCAGAACCCCTGGTGGGGCTCAATCCCATGACCTTGAGATCATGACCTGAGCCTAAACCCAGAGTCAGGGCCTTGACTGACTGAGCTCCACCAGGTGCCCCTATGCTACCCATTCTAAATGTAAACCTGAGCTGTCTAAACAGAATGCTCCTTTTCCCAACTTAATAAAATCCATACAAAAGAATTTTTGTTTACATTTTACCTGAATAATTTCAGAATTAAATTTGGATTCCAAATGTGCTGCTCTCTCTGCTTCAATATTTTCTTCTAGTTTCCTCACTCTCAGAGTAGTTGCCTAAAAACAAATTCAAAGTTTAAACTCACAAACATTGGTATTTAAAGTGGCTACAGATCTTTGCAACCACAGGGATGGAGCTAGAGAGTATAATAATGCCATCGAAATAAGTCACTTAGAAAAAGACAAATACCATATGACTTCACTTGTATGTCGAATTTAGGAAACAAAACATCTAGGTTCTTTCCATAGTTTGGCTATTGTGGACATTGCTGCTATAAACATTCGGGTGCACATGCCCCTTCGGAGCACCACGTTTGTATCTTTGGGATATATACCCAGTAGTGCAATCGTTGGGTCATAGGGTAGCTCTATTTCCAGTTTTTTGAGGAACCTCCACACTGTTTTCCAGAGTGGTTGCACCAGCTTGCATTCCCACCAACAGTGTAGGAGGGTTCCCCTCTCTCTGCATCCTCACCAGCATCTGTCATTTCTTGACTTGTTAATTTTAGCCATTCTGACTGGTATGAGGTGGTATCTCATTGTGGTTTTGATTTGTATTTCCCTGATGCTGAGTGATGTGGAGCATTTTTTCATATGTCTGTTGGCCACCTGGATGTCTTCTTTGTAGAAATGTCTGTTCATGTCCTCTGCCCATTTCTTGATTGGATTATTTGTTCTTTGGGTGTTGAGTTTGGTAAGTTCTTTATAGATTTTGGATACTACTCCTTTATCTGATATGTCATTTGCAAATATCTTCTCCCATTCTGTCAGTTGTCTTTTCATTCTCTCCACTTTTTAATTGGGTTGTTTTCTTTTTTTTTTTTTTTCCCAAGATTTTATTCATTTATTTGAGAGAGAAAGAGAGAGTGAGAGAGAGAGAGCACAAGCCTGGGAAAGAGGCAGAGAGAGAGAGAGAAGCAGACTCCCTGACCAGCATGGGGCCTGATGAGGGGCTCTATCCCAGGACTCTGGGATCATGACCTGAGCCAAAGGCAGACCCTTAACTGACTGAGCCACCAACACGCCCCTGTTTGTTTTCTTATTATTGAGTTTTAAGAGTTTATATAATCTGCATACAAGTCATTTACTGGATATGTGATTTGCAAATATTTACTCCAAGTCTACAGCTTGTCTCTTCATACCATTAAAAGCGTCTTTCATGAAACAGAAGTTTTCATTATCCTTAAGTCCAATTTATCAATTTTCAGGCAAGAGTCAACTTCTGGCCAGGATTAGAAGTCAGAAGCTTTATTTCTGAAAGCTATTTCTGTTGAGAAAATGCAACCATGGGAAGCACTGGATTCTAGTCTCAAAGAGGGAACGGTCATGGCCAAAAGCCTGGTGGGGGCTGGGCAAGTAGGGTTAAAGGGACCCCCCCCCCCATTGCAGATGTCTCAGGATAACAGTAGTAAAGAAAACCATGCCTAAAGTCCTGTCTGTCAAATAAGGATGGTTCAACAGTGATGGAGTAAGGCATTACTAATTTCATTTCCTTTTCAAGTAAAATCTGGACAAGAAGTAAGTTTTTATTAATTATATTTACTTTATCATTTAGCTTAAGGTGAAGTTTTTTTTTAATGCACAACTTGATTAATTGCTTTTTCCTCTTTCCTTCCACAATTTTTTTTACAGAATCACAGAAAGAAGGAGCATAAGCAAAAACTGGATAATTCATAAATTAAGCAAGCCATCTGTGAATAAGTAAGAAATGACTACACCTTTCCTCAAGCAAAACAGATTCCCATAATATCTCATTATAGAATAGAGCATAAACACAAATATCCCTTCTTCTCTAGAGGCCTTTGTAGATGCCTCTTGCAACTAATGGCCTTCATAGTCAAGAAGCAATTTTGCTTCAGGATTCAATCACTCTGTGTTTTAAACTATGAAATTCACAAAATATTTTTTACACTGACTTATTTGCTTTACTTAGATTTTGCAACCCTGTCAATCATATTTGTTAATGAGTTAATTCATTCTTAATGAGTTACTACACAGACTTTTTTTCTAGAAGGCAAACGAAACAGTAAGTCTAAATGTGATCTTTTGGGTCTAAAGATAATTTAAATCCAAAAATTCATATTTTAAGTTAGTAGAGTATAACATCTTTAAAGGTAAAATCTGACATTTATATCCTATACTACTAGAGTATTTTGAAATAACTGGCATTCCACTGAAAGATGAAACTGGTAAATATTCATGTATTAGCAAATATTATAACTCAAGACTCGAGATTCAAAAAATTTTGTAATGAAAAATTTAAAACTAAGGAGTTATTATTACTTTTTTAGGTGTAATTATAATTGGTATTGAGGTGTTTGGCTGTCTCAGTTGGTAGATTATACAACTCTTGATCTCAAGGTCATGAGTTCAGCCCCACATTGGGCATAAAACTTACTTTAAAAAAATTTTTTTAAGAAACTGGTATTTTTTTTAAACTCTTACCTTTTGAAATATATACTACAATGTTCATGGATGAAATTATATGATATCTGGATTTGCTTTAAAATAATCAAGGTGGGCATTACCAGAGGAAGTTGATATTCATGAAATAATACTGGCCATTAGTTGATCATTGTTAAAGCTTAGTTGATCATTGTTAAAGCTGAGTGATAGGCCCATGCAGCTCATTTTGGTATTCTCTCTACTTTCATGCATGATTGAAATTTTCCATACTGAAAAAATTTTTAAACAAAAACAAAAGCAAAGGAAGTATGGTGGGAAAGTATGGTGCTGGTATCATTATTTACCTAACAAAATTCTATTTTGATGACAAAAAATCATTAGAATGAATTAAGCAATTCATGCCTAAGCAGAAAAAGTCAGTGGGAAGCTGGGAGTTTAAATCAATCAATTCCTACATATATCATTAAATATTAAGATAATCAAAGCAAATATTCCCTTCATACTCACCTCTACTTTCTCAAAACATGTTTCATACCAAATATTAGTCCCATGGAATGTGATTAGCTATTATATGAAAAAGCCATTTCATCATAAGTGTGTGAAAAACACAGGATTAAAGCCAAATAATTTTACTAAAGCACTTCTCAGAAAGTTAACATGATCATCTTGAAAAGGAAAAACAAAGTTAGAAGACTCACATTTCTTGATTTCAATACTACTACAAAGCTACAATGATCAAAACACTGTGGAACTGGCAGAAGGACACACATATAGATCCATAGAAAAGAACTGGGAGGGACGCCTGGGTGGCTCAGTGGGTTAAGCCACTGCCTTCAGCTCAGGTCATGATCTCAGGATCCTGGGATCGAGTCCCGCACCGGGCTCTCTGCTCAGCAGGGAGCCTGCGTCCCCCTCTCTCTCTCTGCCTGCCTCTGTCTACTGTGATCTCTCTCTGTCAAATAAATAAATAAAATCTTAAAAAAAAAAAAAAGAAAAGAACTGGGAGTCCAGAAATAAGCCCATGTGTCAATGGTCAATAGATTTTTGACAATAGAGCCACAACCATTCAATGAGAAAGAATCATTCTTTCATTAAGCAGTGCTGAGACAATGGGATATACACAAGCAAAAGAATAAACTTGTAAACCTCCATCACAACATATAGAAATATGAATTCAAAAGAATCAATGGCCTAAAAATAAAATCTTTAGAAAAAATAAAACAAATAAAAAAATGAATGAGTAAAGGGCTTGAATAGACATTTCTCCAAAGAAGATACAAAAATAGCCAATAAGTATATGAAATGATGGATAACATTATTAGCTATCAGGGAAATGCACACCCAAACCACAAAGAGATATGTCTTCACACACACTAGGCTAGCTATAATTTTAAAAAATGGAAAGTAATAAGTATTGGTGAGGATGTAGAGAAATTGGAAACCTCCTACATTACTGGTGGGAATGTAAATTGGTGCCACCACTCTGGAAAACAGTTTGTCAGTTTCTTAAAAAATTAAACAATTACCATATGACCATGCATTTCCACTCCTGGGTATATATTCCAGCAAAATAATAACATGTTCAAACAAAGACTTATACACAAATGTTCATATGAGCATTTTTCATAATAGCCAAAAGGTAGAAACAACCTAAATGTCCATCAACTAAACAAAATATGGTATATTCCTACAGTGGAATGTATTCAGCGGGAAAAAAAAAGTACTAATAAATGCTATGACATAGATGAGCCTTGAAGATATATGTTAAGTGAAAGAAACTAGACACAAAAGACCAAGTATTATTGTATGACTTCGTTTATATGAAATGTCCAAAACAGGCAAATCCATAAGGATAAAAAGTGTGTTAAGTGGTTGCCAGCAGCCAGGGTGGGAGGGAAGAATGAGCAGTGACTGCTAACGGACACGGAGTTTCTTATTGGGGTGATGAGAATATTCTGGAATTAGATAGTGGGAATAGTTGCATAACTTTGTGAATATACTAAAAACTACTGAATTGTATACTTTAATAGGATGAATGTTATGATGTGTGAAATATATTTCAATAAAAGATAAAAGAATCCTGAGTGTAAGAAGGAAAATGTCAAAGTAGTGACAGCCACCTAAGTCAAGCTTCTTGATAATTCCCTCTAAATGCTGACTTCGAGTCCTTAGAATAAGGGATCCCTATTGACTTTAGGTCTAAAACATGGTACCTATTTTAGCACAAAAATTATTATGTTTAGCCAGATTAAAATGAGCATTACTCTAGGTAAGCCCAATACTACTTTAAAACAAACTTTTTAAATGTAAACCCTACAAAATGAAGTCTCTGATCTCAAAAAATTAAAAATGACTTCTCAGTATGTTCGCCTTAGACTCTGTAAGTCAAAAGAAGTCTAACCAGTGATAAGAAAATAGCCTGTAGGCATGGAGAATAAAAAATCAGAACAAGCAAAAAGTTAAGAAAGACAAATAGAGGGAAGAAACTAGTCTAACAATGTTCATTTTCTTTTCAGATTCCAAAAAGCATATGCATAAAGCTTCTCTTATCAAAATAATAGTCTTACATTTTATTAAAATACAGAATATTGTCATTCCATGATAAAAGATTCAACAATTCAAGTCTTCTTTTCATCTCTTGTATGTATCTT